CACTTACCATGTGCAAGCATTGTTTATGCTAAGAACATCAAAATATGCACAAGAGTGTTCTAACCCTTGAGGATAAAAATGGTGACACGAGTGATAAATCCAAATAAGCAGCTACGTGATTTTTGTTGTTGAGATGAGCATCCTTGTGCTGACCAGGTTCTCCTCTTTTAACGAACATTTCAGTTCTTAGCCTCATCACCCAGCTACTCATCACTGGAAAGCAGCATGGATTGCTGTCTTCCTTTCACCTGCCAGCATCTGCCAGTCCCTATCCTACCTCATTTACTCAAACAGAGCCCTGAGTTCATCACTTTCCTTTATCCTGACCATCACTGGATTCATTTTAACACATCTCATCCCTCTTAGAGCCTTTGTCCCTGACCATCTAATTCTAATTCTGCCTGTGTTCTGATGTCCTCAAATCCACTGTGCAGACTCCAGCCCCTTTGATATAATGGCCTGACCATTTCACTCACTTGATTAAATTGTATGACTCTCAGTTGTCTGTAGGACCAATTTCATTTCTTAGTGTTGCAAAGGCCAACAGGTCAAGCTTCACACTTTTTATGCTAGTTGTCAAATATTCCTTAAGATCCTGGCCTTTACTCAAGCTGCCCTTTCCCTCCCCATGTCCTTTGCTCTCATCTTCACTTGCCTGACTCCCAGATATTCTTAAATACTCCTTTATCACTTCCTGGGGAATCCTTCCTTCCCTTTGGCTTAATGAGAGTACTATCCAATCAATCTCTAAGTTGTCTTAGATTTTTTTTAAATCAAATGCTGTGTCTGTGTTTATGTCTTCTTCTGAGGCAGATGTGCTGCTGAAGGTGTTTCTGTTCCCTTTGCATTGCTTGTCACAGAGTAGATCATAAAGATTTATTGATTATGTTAGTTTGTTTATTAAACCAAGTGTCATTTTAAAACTCCACAAAGTGTAAGAAAGGATGATGGAAGACAATGAATAATGCCAGCTGAGAAGATCTCCAAATATTCTCATTAAAGTGTAGCAATTGAGATATAACTTGAAAGAGATCTACACTGAGAAAATAGGAGGTAAGAAGTAAAAGAGTTTCTCAGAAGCAGAGCTCCAGAGTTGTGACTGCACTGCCTAGAAAAAAGGACTCATGAAGAAGTCTCATCATCTGTTATGAGTAAATCCAACATTAAGTCCTTGTAAGGCCTTAGAAAACAAGATCGTGGATTCGTTCTGAATTTTGTCAGCAAGTGGGGGCAAGAGGGAAGAGTTTTAAAGCAAAGAGCAGATGTAATTAAATTCCAGCTTTCTCTACTCAGGTTAAGTCGCTTGAGGATTGACAGTTTAGTTTACTGCCTGGTTGCTCTCTAGTATATTGAATTGCCATTTAAAGATTATTTGCATACAACCAAGAAGTAAGTATTTAACACAGAACTATTCTACAAATCCTTCTATGGTAAGGAACATGTTCCATATCCGTGGTGTTCAGTATAGCAGCCTCCAGACATAAAAATTCTAATACTTTAAACAGGGACATTGAGGGAATAACGTTTAATATTATGTAGCTTAAGTTTATATTTCAATTAAAATGGCTATGTATGATAATTGGCTACTACTCATTTAATGATGTAGTGTTGGAAATTTCTCCCAGGCCAAGTCCCTGAAGGAAATTGAAACACTCAGGTTAAGGTAAATCAAAGAGAATTCATTCATATGCTTGTTTCCAAAGATGCAGACAACTCTATAAGAATCATGAGACAGTTAACTATGGTTAGTGACATAGAGAGTTGTTGGAAAGCTTCATGGTTAAGACTACATACAGGTACAAGCTTAGGTGACATTGAGACTATATAATGTACAAAGTAATTCTAATAATGTTTTACGGAATAAAATCATGTTCAGGATATTTTTCTTCAAGAAAGTCTTTCCTTATGGGAGATCTATTTACTGATGAGAGAGTGTATAGTTTTTCTCTATACAGTGCTGATCCTTGCCGTGTTCTCTCAGTGTCTTTCTGCCCGATGCTCCCTGCTGATGGAAAAGTCAACCCCTTTTCCATCAGCAGGGCTGAGCTGACTTGATGATGGATCCTGTCAAGGGTTTTTTTTAAAAGGGGGCATCTCCTCTTCCAAGCACTTGGTGATAGACAGATCCTGACTGTTATCTATGGTTGGGTTTTAATATCCTGCACTATCCATCTTTCATCTCAGAACATAGGACTTGCCTTTAGTCCTAGCTCATTGCTTCATGATTTGTTAAGGCTTTGAATACAGAAGGGACAAGGTGCTTTTAAATAGGACAGGGCTATTTCTCCTTGCTTTATTTATTTTTATGCCATGCAAAAGGAATAAAGAGGTATAAAATGGCTCAACTGAAGCCAAATAAATCTGGATAAATAGAGCAAGAACCCAATAAAAGCCTGGGGGTGAGAAAGAAGAACGATATTGGGGATGGGAGATAAAAGGAAGGAATAAAAAAAGAAAATTTAATAATTCCTGTAGCATTAGGGTCTATTTATTATTACCTAGGGAACAAAGTGCCTTTGACCCAATGCAGTATTTTAAACAAGGGTTAAGCTCTGGGTGGAAATTAGGAAATTATCTTTAAAGTCCTTATTGAATCTTCTCATGCTGTCACCTCCCGTCATCCTTTATTAAAGCTTTGTGTGTGTCTGCTGCTAGGTCTAGGAAGGCTGACATCTTTTAGTTGTTCTGATGAATCACAGCACAGAAGCTTGTGCGGGTTTATAGCCAACACAACAGGAGTCTCTCATATTATTCCTTATGCCAGGGCAGGGGGTGAGAGGGCATGGGGATTTCTTTGTCCTAACCCCTGCCCATTTGGGATGATCACTACCTTCATGAAATGGACAAAAGATGTAGCCAAGAGCTAATAACACAGAAACCTAGAGAATAAAGGCTAGGCTCTTTAGGTAAAATTAGAAACTGCATTTAGGTCCATTGTAGATCTGTTTATGTCATTGTTTCATGTAGCCTTGAATTAATTTCTATTGCTAATATAAATACTGCTTAACTAGAGCCGTTAAAGTAATCATTTAAGTACATTCTCAGCTATCACTTTGGTATTGAGAACTTTTTTCTCTCAGTTAAATGACCCAACACCAATATATCCTACTATGCTTTCCTTCATTCCCCTCTTCTTTTACTATGGAGAATTTCTATCATATGCATATTTTATATTCTTTTAAAATTAAAATCTCTTTCTTTTTATGTGTGAGTGCATATGTGTGTTTTTGAGGGTGTATATGTGTGTACCTGCAGAGCCTAGCAGACAATCTCTGCTGTTGTACCTTAGGCACTATCCTTGTTTATCATTAGACCTAGTAGATATATGCTCGTGGTTACCAACCATCTTATAGAGCATTGCATGTTCTAGAGTAATAGACACTTTGTTGCTTCTGATGCTGAGAAAAATCTCTGTGTAACTGTAGTTTAGTGGGTACTAGACACTGCCAAAGAGTTATTTAGTTGTGTCTTCAGGCTGACTGGTAAACTCTTAAGTTCATCATTACCTTTCTGACTTGTTATGGAACCCTAATTAAACTGCGTCACACTTTGAATGAAGTTGTTAATTTATGTACTCATCAAACCTGTTCAATAACTCCCTTGCAAGTAATTATTGTAAGGGTGCTGTGAAGGCACAGAGACGAAATGAGTCTGTTGGAAAATGCCAATGAAACAAGGAGAGGCAAGAGTTCACTTGTGATCATGAGAGAATTGTTTCAAGGGTTGTCATTAATTAAGGAATTTTTTTGTGAAACCATTGAGGAACACAGGTGCCTATGTGTAAGAACTAGGGAAAAAGATAGAAAGTCTTGGGAATGTGGTACTTTGGAGAGTAGTGTTAGAGAAGATGGCAGGAGACAAAGGAGAATGAGGTACAACTCTTGAGTACAATAGATGATCTTGATTTTGTTGTCGTTGTGGTTAAGACATTATTATGTTAGAAGGTATTGGTTTTTCTGTGAGTTTGGTCTTGAGAGAGAGAGAGAGAGAGAGAGAGAGAGAGAGAGAGAGAGAGAGAGAGAGAGAGAGAGAGAGAGAGAGAGAGAGACAGAGAGAGAGACAAAGAGAGAGAGGTGCTGTGTTGTCTGTGCTGTACTTCAGTGTCTCTTTTCATGGAGTCCATTCTAGAATCTCCATGACTAGCTGCTGATTTTCAAGGTCTCCTCCCAAAGCCCTTTGAAGTTTATTAATTTAAAAGCAGCAGCAATTTTCCTAGAGGTGAAACACATAATGATTTTTTCCAATCTCTTTTATAGGAGGTATCACTGAGAAAGTATGATTAGATTCCACCCAGTTGTCTCCCACAACAATAATATGTAGAAAATGTCAACCAAGGTGACTTTCCATGTGTTAAGAAGTCCAAGCCTTAGGTTAAAGGATGTAGCATAAAGGACTGCTCTGCTTACAGAATGAAAACGTGTTGCACAAATTATCTTAAGGAGCCAAAAGCAGCATCCAGTTCTCACTTAAAACAATTTGTTCTTGGAATATTGTCAGCTAAAATTGTGGTCAACTTTTGCAAATTGTATGAATTTGCACTGCATATTTTATTTAGTGTTTAGCAAAACTCCAATATGGCTCTGCATAACTTACACAATACACCAAGAAAATGACTTCAGAAACTCCCACGGAAGTTGACAAATTGGGCATCTAATGCTTTTAAGCTAATTGCATGCTTAGCAGTTAAGGAGTTCACTTGTTAAGAATGAAGATCAGAGTTTTGTGGAGACAATGCTCTGCCTGCTGCCACATTGAATCTGATCAAACCCTGTATCAGAAATATTACAGACTCTTAAAGAAGAAAATAATGTGTGCTTTAATCGCCGTGCTTCTTAGTGTTTCAGTGAAGTGCTCATGAATCATATGCACTGTCATAGCAGTTTTGAAAACTATTCCTGAATCTTCAAACTGTTATTTTCAGGAAATTTCGAAAGCAAATTGCTAAGTGATAAAGAGTAATTTGGTAGCATTGCTTATGTCAGTGTTTTGCTTTCTTGCAGACTGGAAAACCAGAAAAGAGTAATACCCTGAATGCCGCCATAGACAACATGAGCAAGAAGACGAGAGACCTCCGCAGACAGGTGAGAGTAAAGAGAGGCACTGGCAGGAATAAGAGGCAAAAGAAGCTCTCATTCTTTGCTAGACTGTTTAATGATTTTTGTATTTTAAAATTATAGACTAGAAAACGAAAAAACAAGGTTATATTTTCCGCATTTATGTGCCTCGAATGTTTTGTGGTAAACAGAAGATAAGAAAAGGAGTATGTGCATTAATGTCATGTAGAATTTCAATTGAATCTTGGCTCTGTCCTCATCAGATCTAAGTTCTGAGGCATAGATTTCATCTGTCAGAGCTTCTCTGAATCTATGAAATGTAATTAACAATGTGAAATGGCTTTGGATATTAAGCACATGCTTATTGCTGCATTGGAGAGATGGCTTTGTTGGTAAAGTGCTTGCCTTGCAAGCAAGAGGACCTCATTTTAATCCCCACAACCCTCTCGGGAAAAGGCCAGGTGTGGTGGGACAGGCGTGTAATACAAGAGCTGGGGACGTGGGGATGAATGAATTCCTGGGCCTCTCTGCCCAGTCAGCCTAGACTACTTGGTGAGAACCTCATAGTGGAAGATCCTGTCACAATTGAAAGGCATATGACTCCTCATGAATGAACCCAACATTATCTTCTGACCTCACATACATATAAAGCACATAGGCACACACCTGTGCATAAATGAGCATGAATACACACACACACACATTCACTTCCACATAAAAAAACAGTACATATAATTGGCACACTAAATGTTTAAAGATGTTGGTAAACTGGCTTTGTACCAGTGCTGTGCACTGTGCTGACTGATTTTAATGTCAGCTTGACAACAGTAGGAGGCATCAATTGAGAAAATGCCTCCAGAATGCTATCTGCAATCCTGTAGTGCCTTGTCTCTCTCTCTCTCTCTCTCTCTCTCTCTCTCTCTCTCTCTCTCTCTCTCTCTCTCTCTCTCTCTCTCTCTCTCTCTCTCTCTCTCTCTCTCTCTCTCTCCCACTTCCTCCCTTCCTTTCTTTCTTTCTTTTTATTTAAATTAGGAACAACCTTGCTTCACATGTCAATCCCAGCTCCCTCAACCTCCCCTACTCCCCCGACCCCACCCATCTTCCCCCCAAACCCTTACCCTGTTCTCCCACCACTGCCAAGGTAGGGTGAAGCCCACCATGGGAAATCTTCAAAGTCTGTCATATCATCCCAGGGAGGGCCTAGGCCCTCCCCATCGTATCCAGGCTGAGAGAGTATCCCTACATGTGGAATGGGCTCTCCAAGTCCGTTTGTATGCCAGGGATAAATACTTATCTACCATCAAAGGCCCCATAGATTGTTGAGGCCTCCTCACAGACACCCACATTCAGAGGGTAGATCAGTCCCATACTGGCCTCCCAACCATCAGTCTGGGGTCCATGAACTCCCCCTTGTTCAGGTCAGCTGCCTCTGTGGGTTTCACCAGCCAGGTCTGGACTCCCTTTGCTCATCACTCCTCCCTCTCTGCAACTGGCTTCCAGGAGTTCAGTTCAGTGTTTAGCTGTGAGTGTCTGCCTCTGCTTCCATCAGCCACAGGATGAAGGTTCTAGGATGGCATATAAGGTAGTCATCAATCTCATTATCGGGGGAGGGCATTTAAGGTAGCCTCTTCACTATTGCTTAGATTGTCAGTTGCTTTCATCGTTGTAGATCTCTGAAAATCTCCCTAGTGCCAGATCTCTTCTCAAACCTATACTGGCTCCCTCTTATATGGTATCTTTCATCCTGCTCTCCTCTATTCTTCCCCTGACTCAACCTTCCTGCTCCCCCATGTCCTCCTCTCCCCTCCTATTCTCCCCCTCTTTTTCTCCCAGCTTCCTCTCCCCTCCCCTCTCCTGCCCTCATGTTCACAGTTCCCTCAGGAGATCCCCATCCCATTCCCCTTCTCTGGGGTACCATGGATCTCTCCCTTAGGATCCTCCCTGTTTCTCAGACTCTCTGGTGGTGAAATTGTAGGTTGGCAATCCCCTGCTCCATGTCTAAAATCCATATATGACTGAGTACATACCATGTTTGTCTTTTTGTGACTGGGTTACCTCACTCAGGATGGTTTCTTCTAGTGCCAACCATTTGCTTGCAAATTTCAAGATTCCACTGGTTTTTTCTGCAGTGTAGTACTCCATTGTGTAAATGTACCACATTTTCTCTATCCACTCTTCATTTGAGGAGCATCTGGGTTGCTTCCAGGTTCTGGCTATTACAAATAATGCTGGTATGAACATAGTTGAACAGATGTCCTTATTGTATGTATGTGCATCTTTTGGATATATGCCTAAGAGTTGAATTGCTGGATTTTGTGGTGGACTGACTCTGTTTTCCTGAGGAATCTCCATACTGATCTCCAAAGTGGCTGTACGATTTGGTACTCCCACCAGCAGTGGAGGAGTGTTCCCCTTTCTCCACATCTTCTGCAGCATAAATTGTCTTCGATGTTTTTGATCCCACCAGCATTGGAGGAATGTTCCTCTTTCTCCAAATCATTTCTAGCATAAAATGTCATTAGTGTTTTTGAATTTAGACATTCTGACAGGAGTAAGATGGTATCTCAGAGTTGTTTTTATTTGCATTTCTCTAATGGCTAAGGATGCTGAGCACTTTGTTAAGTGTCTCTCAATCATTTTACACTCCTCTATTGAGAATTCTTTATTTAGTTCTGTAGCCCACTTTTTAATTGCATTCTTTGGTTTTTTTGGAGGCTTGCTTCTTGAGTTCTTTGTAAATTTTTGAGATCAGCCCTCTGTCAGATGTGGGTTTGGCGAATTTCCTTTTCCATTCTGTGGGCTGCTGTTTTGTCTTGTTGATTGTGTCCTTTGCCTTACAGAAGATTCTCAGTTTATTAATTTTCATCTCAGTGTCTGTGCTACTGGTGTTATGTTTAGGAAGCTGTCTCCTGTACCAATTCATTCAAGGGTACTTCTCATTTTCTCTTCTAATAGATTCAGTGTGGCTGGATATATGTTGAGGTCTTTGAACTGAAGTTTTGTGAATGGTGATAGATATGGATTTATCTTCAGTCTTCTACATGCTAGCATCCAGTTATGCCAGCACCATTTGTTGAAGATGCTTTCTTTTTTCCATTGTATAATTTTAGCTTCTTAGTCAAAAATCAGGATTTCATAGGTGTGTGGGTTAATATCACTATATTCAATTGTATTCCATAGGCCTACCTGTCTGTTTTTGTGCCAATACCAAGATGTTTTCATTACTATAGCTCTATAGTAGAGCTTGAAGTCAGGGATAGTGATGCCTCTAATAGTTCCTTTATTGTACGGGTTTTTTGGCTATCCTGGGCCTTTTACTTTTCCATATAAAGTTGAGAATTATCCTTTCAAGTTCTGTGAAGAATTGTGCTGGGATTTTGATAGGGATTGCATTGAATCTGTAGATTGCTTTTGGTAAGATTGCCATTTTTACTCTGTTGATCCTGCCTATCCAAGAGCATGGGCAATCTTTCCATTTTCTGGTATCTTCTTTAATTTCTTTCTTTAAAGACTCAAAGTTCTTGTCATAACTGCCTATCACCTGTTTGGTTAGAGTTACTCCAAGATATTTTATGTTGTTTGTGGCTATTGTAAAGGGTGATATTTCTCTGATTTCTTTCTCAGCACATCTATTGTCTATGTATAGTAGGCTTACTGATTTTTTTTATTTCATCTTGTATCCTGCCACTTTGCTGAAGCTATTTTTCAGTTGTAGGAGTTCCCTGGTAGAATTTGTCATGTCACTTATGTAGACTATCATATCATCCCCAAGTAGTGAAAGTTTTACTTCTTCTTTTCCAATTTGTATCCCTTTGATCTCCTTTTGTTGTTTATTGCTCTAGCAAGAACTTCAAGTACAACATTGAAGAGATATTTAATTAATGACCAGTAAGGGAGGGCTCAGTCCGTTGTGGGTGATACCAGTCCTGGGCTAATTGTCCTGGGTTCAATAAGAAAGCAGGCTTAAGCCGGGCGTTGGTGGCGCACGCCTGTAATCCCAGCACTCGGGAGGCAGAGGCAGGCGGATCTCTGTGAGTTCGAGGCCGGGCTGGACTGATAGCCTCCAAAACAATACAGAGAAACCCTGTCTCGAAAAACCAAAAAAAAAAAAAAAAAAAAAAAAAAAGAAAGCAGGCTTAGCAAGTAAGTAAGCAGCCTCTTCATCAGTTCCTGCCTCCAGGCTCCTGCCCTGTTCTGACTTCCTTTAGCAATGAATAGTGATGAGGAAGTATATGCCTGATAAACCCTGTCCTCCTCAAGTTGTTTTGGTCATGACTTTCTGTAACAGCAATAGTTACCTGAGACAAATATACACTGAGTTTCTCTTCCTAATGCAGACAGCATCTAGTAGCTGAGTCTTGCCAGCTCTTCCTCTTCATGGCTTGTGGGTGCTTTAGAAACCATTTTCTGTTGAGAAACTCTTTTCTTCACTAGTCACCAGGATCAGAATTTCAGAAAGGATTTTACCAAGCATTTGAGAAGCCTAGTGTTAGGACACAAATTTATCCCCCACCCCTGAAAATTTAGCTGATTTCCCAATCCTCTTCTCTGTAAAATTACAAGAATATATATATTCTTTTGGACAGCTATAACATAGTCACCATTAATTCATAAAAGCACAGGGAAAGGCTTTTAACCAGAAGCTCTTAATGCTATATGTTATCTTAGTTAATTGGGAAGAATTAGAGAAATGGCTGGTCTGTATTTTAATTCAGAAGTAGATCCACATACAGAATAGTTAGGTTTCCCAGAGAATGAGGTTGTGTCACAGCAGAATTTAAAATTCTGTGTAAGTCATGCTTTCTCAGCATTAGGTCTTTGATGTGAATTCTCTTCCTGCTATCAGCATTTAGGATTATGGGATGTAAGAGTCAAAGGAGTATACCAGCATAGCCCCTTTGGACTCTTAGCGTTGGCCTTCCTCTTTCTTGCATAATTTTTATTTTGTGTCTTCTCTAGGATTTCTTTCCACTTGTGTCTAGATTCAGGGTCTCCTGTACCCCAAGCTGACCTCAAACTTATGACCT